AAACAACATAAAGTGTCAAATATTAGTATTTACTCCTCATGCTTATCTGCCAGCGAACGAACCAAACACATTTTGAGACTTAGTGAAATTCTGAAACACATAAAAAAATGCGGCCAAAGCTCTGCCTTTCAATTCACTCAGACTTCAAACTGACCTTCCAAAGAGTGCAAGAAGCGTGGTCCAAGCCACCTTAGCTCCCGGCTCTTACTAAACATCATCGTGGTCAACTCATCTCAGACATCAGGAAATCTTGGGCAAACCTCGAGCTGTATTTCTAGAGCCCAAATTACAACCTCCTCCATTCTGGAAAAAAAAAAAAAAAAAAGGAGGTGTCTTGGGACACTGCTGCCAGATAATACCAATGATAGATGCTAGGAAAATCCAAAGTACTTTTGTTCAAGGTGTTGAGAGCACAGTAATGCCTGGGAGAATAGTTGAGCCTAAAAAATTTCCCAGCCCCGTTGAAGGGAATTTTCCATTAATTTCTGATGTATTACCTCTTTACAAAGAAAACATGGTTCCTATCACCATGCAAGGATATTTGGGACAAGAAGTGAGGGGAAAACTGTGCACTGAAAAAGCGTTACCCTTCCAGGAGACCAGCTGCAGCCACTCCCCCAACCAGATCCCAGGGATATTTCAGTGGCTGTTGATGATTTGTGCTTTTTAATCTCTACTACTGTATCACGAATTGCCTAAGATCAGACTAAATCATTTATCTGGGAAGATCCAGCTCTGAGGGCAGGTCGAGGCAAAACAACAAATGGCTACAATCTATATTTTAATAATATAGACTCCTAAATGTAGTCACGAGTTATTTCCTCTGGCCTCTGAGTGCCCTGCTCTGCAGAGAGGCTGCAGCAGGAGACCCCCACTCCTGGGCGATGCTGGATACGACACGGGACCTGCATTGCTCATTCTGTTTTACAGTAGTCGTGTTGTTTGGTTTCTGTCACTGGACAGAAAGGACTGTGAATCCCTGTCCTTAAACTCACAACTCTCTGGCCCTTTGTAAAAACAATTATTTGTTCTGACCAGACAGGCTGCGAGCCCCTCTTTTCCCCCCCCCCTTCCTTCCTACAGTCTCTTCGCTTCCTTCATGTTAATGGGTTATAGTAGGAAAAATAATCAGTGCAACCCCTGAATAGCCATTGGGGAATCGAATAGCTATTTTTGATCACACATGTGGCTTAAGAACATGAATTGCCATAATTGGCTTATTGCTTCTTCTCTTATGATGCAGTTTATAAGCAGTGCCCTTTAAGACGTGTTTGTGGTGCTCGCTGATGCTCCTGTATTTACAGCTGGAAGCCAGGGGGGCTGTCTGGCTCCGCTCACATTGCTCTTAAGTGATGCTTTTACAGCTCCAAGCTGCTTTGTATGATGGCACCCAGCATTTCCAAACTCTTTGCCTTTATATTCGTGACATTTCCATCTACCCCACCACCTCCCCGCTGTTTTGCCTGCTTGGGCTAACGTAGCACCTCCGGCCCTTGGGCTAGTGGCGCTGAGGGGGGGGGGGCAGACAAGCATTGCCAAACAGGAGAGGCAGGAGGTTGAGAGGGATAAGGGCAGAGCCTTGGGCAGGCGCTGGAATGCGATGACAAACAGCTCCTATTAAGCAGAGTTCAAAAGGGCCCGGGCTGAGCATCCCTGCACCTCCTGTACCACACGTAGGCAGCATTCCTCCCGCCCAGCACCCTTAACTACTGCTTGCTTTCAGCCCCTGCACAGCAAAGGGCTGCCTCCTTAAATAAACACCTGGCAGCCTTTGTTCAGGTTGCTGAGCTGAATGCCAGGAACATTCTTCCCAGGCTAAAAAAGGCCAGACAACAAAAATGATCCAGCTGGGGAAAGGCTCATGCATTTCCACTCTTCCCCTCTTCTCCATTTGAATCCCATCGTGGCAAAGGAGGGGACAACACCCCACTTTAACACTGATGGCACCACTCTGCTCCAAAGACAGGTTCGTGGTTGAGTGTCCACACGTGTTTTTCTGCTATAAAAAAGGACACTATTTTGTCACAGCAGTATCAGATTGTGAGGGGCTATCCCTTTAGATGCTATAGGATTGCCATCTAATTACAGGGTGTGCCAAAACCACCGGGGGCAGATAATGCTGTTTACAATCAGTCACCAAGATGTTATAAAAGGCTCATTAAAATAATGAAGAGGCAGGACTAGAGAAATCTCTTGGCAGCAAGGCAAATATTTGGCCCTTCAGGCTTTCCGGTGCCAGACAAAAAGCATCATACCACGAAGTTATCCTTCTTATCACTATCCTAAAAAGAGGGAGGAATCACAGCACTGCCAGGAACCTGTGTGTAGAACAAGCCGACATCACGATGAATTTTGCACTTAAATGGAAATCACGATTCCAAATCTATAGGCATATCTACAGGCAAATCATGAACACAGCAACTATTAAGAATTCACAATCAACTAACACCCCACGTCTCTGTTATTCACAGTATCCTGCAGCTTTTTGTTAATAAACAAAAACCCATAGAGCAAAAGAAGAAGTCAATTTTCTTTTTGTTTATCCCCTCTAGTCAGTGGAGCAGTATCAGAGATTAGAACATTGGCTGTAAGAGTCACTGGCACACTTTGCTTTTCTGGTTGGTGGGTTGGTTGCTCAAAGCTGTTTTTATCACTGTCTTCAAAATGATCCTATAACTCCTGGCTACACCACCTGGAAAGGGAATAGCAGCATAAAGATTTTTCAGCGTGCATCAATCTTATCAGGCTCTTCACAGAATCACAGCATCACTGAGGACAGAAAGGACCTCTCTGGAGATCATCTTGTCCAAACCCACCCCAGCTCAAAGCAGAGTAAACTACAGCAGATTGTCCAGCGCTGTGTCCCACCAAATTTTGGGTGGCTTCAAGGATGGAGAAGCCTCTCTTGGCAACTTGTTCAGTTTGTGTCCTTGCCTCTTGTCCTGTCACTGGACACCACTGAGAAGAGTCTGGCTCAGTCTTCTTTTCTCCTCGCAGGTATTTATACATATTGATAAGTCCCCCCCTTGACCTTTCTCTTGACCAGGCTGAACTGTCCCAGCTCTCTCAGCCTCTTCTCCTACAAGAAGATGCTCCAGTCCCTTAATCATCTTCATGGCCATTTGCTGCACTCTCTCCAGTAAGTCCATACCTTACACTGGGGAGCCCAGGACTAGACACAGCACTCTGGAACGTACCCCTACCAGTGCTGAGTAGAGAGGGAGCATCACCCCTCCTTGACCTGCTGGCAATGCTTCTCCTAATGCAGCCCAAGACACTACTGGCCTTCTTTGCTGCAGGAGCACATGGCTGGCTCATGTCCAACTCGGTGTCCCAAGGTCCTTGGACCCAGGTCCTTTTCTGGAAAGCTGCTTTCCAGATGGTCAGCCCCGAGCCCTGCAATGGTGCATGGGGTTGTCCCACCCCAGGTGCAGGACTTTTTGCACTTCAGGAGATTCCTGTCAGCCCATTTCTCCAGCCTTCCCACATCCCTCTGGACGGTAGCACAACCACCTGGTATATCAACTGCTACTCCCAGCTTTGTATCACCTGCAAACTTCCTGAGGGTTACACTCTGCCCCGTTCTCCAGGTCTTTTATGAAGATGTTGAACAGTGTCAGTCCCACCACCAGCCCCAGTCACCGCTAGTGACTGGCTTCCAGCTGAACTTCGCTCCCCTGTCCATAGCCCTCTGTGCCTGGTGCTTCAGCCAGTTTTCACATACTGGTTCTGGTGGTTTCCCTTTGCCAACAGGGTGGCAGCCTTCACTTGAGAGTATGCTAGAATTGTTTGACTAAGTCATCAAGATGGGATGAGTGCTAGATACAGCCTAGCTTGATATTTTGAATTAAGCAGAGGATCAAGCTGACCCTGCAAAAATGAAGTTGAGTTTTTCAGTGCTACAAACTATATGGTTCTGTTTTTAGATCTTTGGATGCCTTTTCCCCATGCAAGTCTCTTTAAGCTGTGTCTACGACTCAAAATAAAGTGGTAGGACAAACAGCGTGCTTAGGGGGGAATAACATCATCACTGCCAATGCCAGACTTTCAGTCCATCTAGACACACACAAAAAAAGGACAGTAAACAGTAACATTTAAGCCACAACAAATCTTGAAAGTGCACACAAAAAAACAAGCCCTGGAGAGTCTGTCTGGTCAGTGAATTCCTTCTGTCTGGAAGTGATGAAATACATGGCAGTTCTGAAGGGTTGTCTTCGAGTAATGCTGGTATGAGGATTTGAGTGCAACAGTTAACTGTCAAACCAGAACCATCCATCAACTGCTAAGGTATGAAATGATCCCACTTCTTTTGTCTAGTCTTAGGCGTTGCCTGGAATATAATTAGAGTATTTGAAACTTTCTCACTCAGAAAAAAACCCGAACAGAAAAGATGGCAGTAAGCAGAAAGGTTTGGTCCAAGTTTTTGGAGGTAACATCAATGATAACTTTTCATTCATGTTTAGGGTCTTCCTTGGTGACACTGTAGAAAGAAGATATAGGTATTCTGCTAAAGGATCCTGAAACATTCCTATTTTCAGCAGTTTTCTTGAATCCTAAATACAAGGAACCAAACACTCCAGGAAAGAGAAGTGAAGGAAGGAAGGTGTTTGACTTCTTGTTTGGCAGTGTTTGCTTCGAAGGCTACGCAGGATGGTAGCGTCGACTGTTTCACTCTCTCTTCTCTCTCTGTTCTCTCCCCCTTAGTTCTGTATCCATCCTTTTCTAGGTATCCACCCACTGCTCCATGGCATCACTCTCTCTTTCATACCGATACTTTGGGTCTGCGGTGAAAGTTAGTTTTGTGATCTTCATTTCTCACAGGCTTGTAAAGTATAATGAAAACTGCCGTGTGTTTGTGACTATGGAGCCAGCAGTCATCAAGGGACTTGGGTGACAGTGCCAGATGCCAAGGAATAGCTTATATTACCGTGATACTTTTGGTCCCCTCTGCTCCTCTACAGAAAAAGGGAAATTCAAATCATCCAGGCAGCCATCTCCTCGCAGGTATTTATACATATTGATAAGTCCCCCCCTTGACCTTTCTCTTGACCAGGCTGAACTGTCCCAGCTCTCTCAGCCTCTTCTCCTACAAGAAGATGCTCCAGTCCCTTAATCATCTTCATGGCCATTTGCTGCACTCTCTCCAGTAAGTCCATACCTTACACTGGGGAGCCCAGGACTAGACACAGCACTCTGGAACGTACCCCTACCAGTGCTGAGTAGAGAGGGAGCATCACCCCTCCTTGACCTGCTGGCAATGCTTCTCCTAATGCAGCCCAAGACACTACTGGCCTTCTTTGCTGCAGGAGCACATGGCTGGCTCATGTCCAACTCGGTGTCCCAAGGTCCTTGGACCCAGGTCCTTTTCTGGAAAGCTGCTTTCCAGATGGTCAGCCCCGAGCCCTGCAATGGTGCATGGGGTTGTCCCACCCCAGGTGCAGGACTTTTTGCACTTCAGGAGATTCCTGTCAGCCCATTTCTCCAGCCTTCCCACATCCCTCTGGACGGTAGCACAACCACCTGGTATATCAACTGCTACTCCCAGCTTTGTATCACCTGCAAACTTCCTGAGGGTTACACTCTGCCCCGTTCTCCAGGTCTTTTATGAAGATGTTGAACAGTGTCAGTCCCACCACCAGCCCCAGTCACCGCTAGTGACTGGCTTCCAGCTGAACTTCGCTCCCCTGTCCATAGCCCTCTGTGCCTGGTGCTTCAGCCAGTTTTCACATACTGGTTCTGGTGGTTTCCCTTTGCCAACAGGGTGGCAGCCTTCACTTGAGAGTATGCTAGAATTGTTTGACTAAGTCATCAAGATGGGATGAGTGCTAGATACAGCCTAGCTTGATATTTTGAATTAAGCAGAGGATCAAGCTGACCCTGCAAAAATGAAGTTGAGTTTTTCAGTGCTACAAACTATATGGTTCTGTTTTTAGATCTTTGGATGCCTTTTCCCCATGCAAGTCTCTTTAAGCTGTGTCTACGACTCAAAATAAAGTGGTAGGACAAACAGCGTGCTTAGGGGGGAATAACATCATCACTGCCAATGCCAGACTTTCAGTCCATCTAGACACACACAAAAAAAGGACAGTAAACAGTAACATTTAAGCCACAACAAATCTTGAAAGTGCACACAAAAAAACAAGCCCTGGAGAGTCTGTCTGGTCAGTGAATTCCTTCTGTCTGGAAGTGATGAAATACATGGCAGTTCTGAAGGGTTGTCTTCGAGTAATGCTGGTATGAGGATTTGAGTGCAACAGTTAACTGTCAAACCAGAACCATCCATCAACTGCTAAGGTATGAAATGATCCCACTTCTTTTGTCTAGTCTTAGGCGTTGCCTGGAATATAATTAGAGTATTTGAAACTTTCTCACTCAGAAAAAAACCCGAACAGAAAAGATGGCAGTAAGCAGAAAGGTTTGGTCCAAGTTTTTGGAGGTAACATCAATGATAACTTTTCATTCATGTTTAGGGTCTTCCTTGGTGACACTGTAGAAAGAAGATATAGGTATTCTGCTAAAGGATCCTGAAACATTCCTATTTTCAGCAGTTTTCTTGAATCCTAAATACAAGGAACCAAACACTCCAGGAAAGAGAAGTGAAGGAAGGAAGGTGTTTGACTTCTTGTTTGGCAGTGTTTGCTTCGAAGGCTACGCAGGATGGTAGCGTCGACTGTTTCACTCTCTCTTCTCTCTCTGTTCTCTCCCCCTTAGTTCTGTATCCATCCTTTTCTAGGTATCCACCCACTGCTCCATGGCATCACTCTCTCTTTCATACCGATACTTTGGGTCTGCGGTGAAAGTTAGTTTTGTGATCTTCATTTCTCACAGGCTTGTAAAGTATAATGAAAACTGCCGTGTGTTTGTGACTATGGAGCCAGCAGTCATCAAGGGACTTGGGTGACAGTGCCAGATGCCAAGGAATAGCTTATATTACCGTGATACTTTTGGTCCCCTCTGCTCCTCTACAGAAAAAGGGAAATTCAAATCATCCAGGCAGCCAAATCCCTTGTTTGAAAGAACCACTCAATTAGGTGAGAAATTGTCCTTTAAATACATTTTTCCAGACAGTTTCCTGGGCTAGGATGAGGCAGGAAAATCAGAGAAGGTGGTGTGAGAAGAATGCTGTGCCAAGCAACTGCGTGGAGGGGAAGGTAGAAGGTGAAATGCAGCTTATTCCCCCAGGCTCGGAGACCTGCTGGAAATCTGGTTGGTAGTAATCGTGGTGAGCCTACATGTGGAGCTGGTGCCACATGGCTATCTGTCTCCTGGGGTTCCTCAGCATTTCTTCCCAGTGGTTCCTCTCCGTGCCCGTGACGTGCAAGCCCAGGCTGCACTTGCCAAGCATGTGGCTCTGCCCAGCACCATCCTGGCTCAGCATTTCCAGCTCCACGCTGGAGGCACGCAGGAGCTCGTGAGGTACCTCAAACATGATCATCTCGTTCCACACAGGGTTGATCTTGTGTTTCGCGCGTTTGGTCTGCTTCTTCTTCAGCTTCAAGGACTGATGCCTCAGTGTCACCTTGACAGAAACATCTGTATAGAAGTGGAGAGAGACACCGTGGTAACGAACGTGCAACAACATGAATGCAAGAGAATTTTAACTGGTGACATCAGACTGGGAGAGAGAACATAAGAAAGATTGATCTTGGTGGGTTTGGTTTCACCTTTTAGAAATTATTCATATGGCTTTGGCTTTCTAAGCCAAACATTTATGTTTTTCTGCCAAGCACTACCCTTCCCACTTTCTCTCTAGATTTACATAATAGCAGAAACAACAATCTCTGCTTTCTTGCTGTTCTACTCACCGTTGCCAAGTAGATCTTTCAGCTGCTTGGAGTGGAGATTTTTAGCCTTAATAATCACCACCAGCAGGCGGTTAGCAGCTGGCAGGTAGCTGATGGAGAGCAGAACCTCCCCATGGCCTGTAGACGGCTCCTGGAAATGGAGACACAGGAAGGGTTAATTTTTTAATTTTACAATCTTGGCCGTAACATTAGGAAAGCTAAATGGTATAAGGTGATGGGTGGAAGGTCGTGGACTGACCAAGTTGTCACCCTGCCTAGGTACGAGAGATCTTTGCAGTTAGACTGGATGAGAATAAACCTGGCAAAGATGTCTGAGAGGGCTCCTCCACTCACAAGGCCTGATCATGTGAGTTACTGCTTTCCTTTGTTGCTGGAAAAAGGTAACTGCTTCCTAACATCTACTTTTACTGGGATATTTAGTCAGCAGAAGAGGACTTGGGGCTGAACTACATGCAAGTAGTCAGATACTCCTTATCTAGCTGCCCTTTATTTATGTCCCCTACTTCCATTACTGCTTTTCATAATTGACTCTTCATTTCAGCTGCTCTTTTAGGGAGGAGGCTCTGACCAGATGGGGGCCCTGCTCCTAGCAGGAGTGTAGAGCTTCCTGGGAAAGCATCATAGAATGGTTTGGGTTGGAGGGGACCTTAAAGATCATCCAGTTCCAACCCCCCTGCCCTGGGCAGGGACACCTCCCACCAGAGCAGGTTGCTAGTAGGTGATACCTGGGTCTGTGTCAGACCCTGAAGCTGGAGTTGAACTTTCTCTGACACCCTTGGTATGGCAAAACCCCAGCCAACCCCAAATCCTCCATGAGCTGGGCACAGTACTTTCCTCTTCCTTCCCTTGGACCTGCGAGTGGCTCTCCCTGCTACCCCCATGGGATTTCCCCCAGGAAAACCCTACTCTGAACCATCAGGTGTTCACTTCAGGAGGCCACACGTTGTGTTTTGTTTTTTTTAATTTTCCTTTCTTATTCCTTTCTTCCCATTAGTGCTTGGCCTCACAGCCTCCTGACCTTTCTCCCCGTCCTTTCTGCTTGCCCTAGACAATTCCCCCCGGAGGGACATAACCACACCACCCATCTCTCTCCCCTTGGACCACAGCCCTGTTTCCTCCTGGCAGGGAAGGGAGAAATCCCACGCCGACCCGTGCAGAGCTGCCAGCCTGCGGAGAGGGGCCAAAGGGGAGCAGTGATTCTCTCAGCGAGTAGGAGTTTGTGACAGAAATCTGCTTTAGCGTGAGGTTAATGACCCAGAAGAGTCCCAGAAAGCCAATGTCAATTCAATAGACTCCCTTTGGACTCCTTAGCATGATTTAGAGGCTTTGGGACAGACAGCCCTACTCCAGGCCATTTCTGTGCTCCGCGCTCTCGCTTCTAAGTGAGCCATAAATATTTCAAATTAAGTTTTCACCCGGTTATTCGCAACAGGCAAGGACAGGCCCCTGTATGCTCCGCATGAACTGATTGACTCTCCAGAAAACATGCTGTCATCGCTGTCTGGTCTGAATGACTTATTTGTCGTGCACAAATCAGGTGGGAGGCCATTAGCAAGGAAGCCTGAAATTCAATCCCAAATCAGCCCAAGTAAATCTTTTTTTTCACGCACTCGGGTATCAACGAAGGGCTCGTACGCGCTTCACGTACATAAATCCTGTCCTAAATCTACTCAGATCTTAAAAACAACCCCACACGTAAAACCAAACAGGGGTAGATTCAAATGGCTGCATGTCCACTACAAAAGAATAGATGTTTGGATGTGGAGGGACAAATGCAAATGCCACCTCAATATAAAACTGCTGTTTAGGGAAGTCATAAAGCTGCTTGTGTTTATTTGTCCCTCTGCATCTCACCAGGTCCCACTTGATAGCTCTTGGCTAGAATTTGCTTCCTGTAGCTCCAGGCACAGGTAAATAGAGCGGAGACTGGGGGGCAGGGGGTGGCAGTGCTCTGTAAACGTGCACACAGGCACGCACACACAAACACACACATTGCACACACACGTCACACCTTGGGCTTACAGCTTTCTAACTCCTAATACTCCAGTCAAGTTTTTGACCTGCCTGTATCCACATGAAACCAAAATCTACAATGGTTGGTCTCTGCTGGAGTTTTGTTTGAAGAGACCAAGCCAGAGGTGCTTTTCCTTCTCCTTCCTTTTGCATTTTGTTGTTGGGTTTGTGGTTTTTTTCCCCTATTAAATCCATAACCTGCACTTTTTGCTGCAACCTTGCAAACACACAACCACCCGAGTTCCAGTCTTCCTTTCTGTGCAATAAGGATAAAAAGCATCGTGGGGTCATCAGCGACTGACGCGTGCAGGGCACCATGAAATCACAAAAGGGAAGGTGCTATGCCAGAAGCCACTATCATCGCTGTCATTAGCAAAGCGCTGGGAGGGAAGGAAGACAAGATAAGGATATCAGCCTGCAATATCTACGCTTTGCATTGCTCACAGCAGTCCATGAATTCCTGAATACTAATGACATTACCTGGTTAGCTGTAAGCTCCCCTCTGAGCTCCCTCCCTTGCGTGTGGGAGAATTACCGGGAAGGTAGGAATGAAATTTCTGCAGCCCGTGGTTTTGCAAGGAAATGTCAGACTTTAAACAAAGCCCAGTAACTTTGTTCCTGGATGGATGCTGTCAAAAATAGCTCCTCTTTTTTTTTTTTTTTTTTTTTTATCAGCTCTTCCCTCCCTCCCTCCCGCTCTGCTTCTCGATGAATGATTCAGGATCCGTATATAAGCTATCTGTGCAACGGTTGGCTCTCTCAGGTCCCAGATGACGCAAATTCAGCTTTCACTGCACATCCTCAGCTCAAACTGGGGCACTGTTCAGCAGTGCTGTTAGTCTTAACCTTGTGCTGTCAGCCTGGAGAAGAGATGAATACTGCCTGGGTTCTGTGCCCAGTTGGGACCTGCTGGACCAAGGCAGAGGAGCCGGTACGTCAGGACTCCATCAGGTGGAGTGACAACTGACCATTGCTGTGAACAGGCTGGTCCTCCAGTATTTCTTACAAAGCAGATACTACAGTGGGTTAGGGAGTTGGTGGGGGGGGGGTTCCATCTATCTCAGTTTAGGAATTTAAATCATTATATTGGAATAATTTCTTTTGGACATCTCTTTTTACAGCAGCAGACTGGGAACTCATCTCAATTTATAGCTATTAGGCAAATATTTAGCCTTCTGCTTGAAGTTTATTAAACTGCTTCAGACCACCCATTTGTTTCTGCTGCTTCTCTCTCTGCCAGGGTTCTTTTTTAAATCAGCCAGCCCTATTAGCATTCAAGTGGCGATGAGATAAATTAGCATTATTGGAAATCAGAAAATGCTAACTCTGTGTCTGTGGCCAGCTCCATGGGGAGCCCTCACCCCTGATGGCGACAGGAAATACTTTATTTCAGCGTGTTTAGTGACCATACTGGTGGTGTTTTGCACCGCTTGCCCTGTACCATACCAGAGTACAATAAGTACCTGTTTGTAGTGATGTACCAGTGCAACAATAGCAGTGCCCTGTTGTTAAATGTATTGCTGCTCCTGAAAGAATAATCTAGTTCACAGCAGGGAAAAGGCTCCCGAGGAAATGTGCAAGAAGTTAATGCACCTGAAGCATCCCCTGTACCTACTTCAAGTGCTGTTGGAATACCTTCCCTCCATTTTCCCTGTCTCTGCAGCTGGGAAAGCGTGGATAAGGAAGGAAAGGGAGGTTTTGATATTAAAGAAAACCAACCCAGTGCAATGAGTGATATTTTGACATGTGCACTGCTGGACTGATCCCAGTAAGGATAAGTGGGCTTCAGTCAAACATTTAATTCCCAACAGTGTATTTCACTCCTAGCCTAAGGCTCCCTGGGGTGCCACCATATGCCCTACCCACACCCAGCTCTGTGGAGTCCCTCCGGCCTGCTCTGTGGGCACTCCCTGGTATTTCAGCTCTTGCTGAAAGGTCCCGCATCGCTAATTCACAGAAACTCACGTAACCTTTTCTAAGCCTAGGCTTTCAATTACAGATATTGGTGTCAGATTGTCATGTAATTGAGGGAGGAAGAGGGAGTTTTGACACATCTTAACTGCCTGGAGCTGTGGATGGAAGGGCTGGGTTGATGGGCCTTTGATTGCTCTCTGAGATGATTAGCTACTGGCCAACACAGAGCAGTGCCGAGTGACTTCAGCAGTCACACATCACCCCTCTAAACCTGGCTCCAAACAAATAAAGCCACCCACTGACATGCAGCCATCTTTGAAGATGGCTTCTCTTGTCCGAACAATTAATCATTAGAGTTTCTGGACTACCAACAGAGATTGAGTGCATACCTTCTCCGGGGTCTTTAGCCTTTCCCACTGGGCCATCCCAAAGGACTCCTCCATGTTAGCAAGGCTCAGTTTGAGTTCCCCCACAATGCTGTGTCTGGAGAACTTGTCGCAGTTTCTCAGGGTGAGAGTCAGTGTCCCCTCTGGCATCTCCTCCTCCGTTAATGGGAATCTCAGGACCTCCTCCCAGAGGGTGTGAAGCACCTTCTTCTTCAGCTCTGTCTGTGCCTCAGCAATACCAGACTTGCTCACCAGTGTGCCCAGGACGTAGCAATGGCAGCCAGTGTCTTGGTCCCCACTCATTTTGCCATGCATAGCTGGAAAAGGAAGATTGATTGTGAGGACCTCTCACAAAAGACAATTGTGAAATATCTGTGGCTAAATTTTTTATCTCATGGGACCCATAACATAGAATAGCTACATAGACATTGACCCCTGTTCCTGCTTGCACAGGGCAGACTAAGCACTGAGCACATGTTGTGGTGTTCTCCTCATGCTACACAATGTCCTTGTCCTTCTGCCCCTTCAGAAGGATTCTGTTAGTGTTTGGGAGAGCAACAGCTGAGTTGAGGGAAAGATGCTGAGGAGCAATGAGATGAGACATGGCATGGCACAGGGATGGGCAGTCACAGACACCAGAGATGGGAGAGAACCTCCCTCTTGGCACACATCCCCTCCTGCAGACCAGTGTGGGGTACGTCTAAGGGCTATTCTACTTATCCAGCCTCTGGTAAATGACTCCATCAGAGCCATCCCACAGCCAAAACGATCTGTGTCAAGAGACAGTCATCCCTAATTTTATATCCCTTTTATATAGCCTAGAGTGGGAATGGCATTTCACACTCCTCTTCAGTTGCGCCAACAGAATTGTGCTGCCTCCTCTGCAGCAAGAGGCACTCTCAGAGGGGTCACAAACAGTATGATTTTGTGGGTAAAACTGAAGCCTCGCTGCAGCCAGAGGACAGTTCCTCCTGAGCTTCCAGGTTGCACGGTTCACAGGAATCTGTGAAAAGGTTTCAAGGATTTCTCAGGGGGGCAGAGCTGGATCCTGCCTGGGTGGCAGAGGAGCAGGACAGCCAAGGTGGCAGTCTCCAGGCATGGGTGTCCATCCTGGAGGGAAGCTGTGGGCTTGCTGCAGTGGCTGCCGTTGAGCACCCTTTCAATTCTCACTTCAGAGGGTGTGATTTGATTAGGTTTCCACAGAGATCTGCACTGTGCATGAATTATTCAGTCAGCTTATTTTACTTTCCCAGAGGAACTGACGATGCTCCAGCCCTGAGCGGAGAAGCTGTCACAGTTGTCAGTTCCCACTTCAGAGAGTGACAGGGACCCTGGGTGCCTGGCCAGCCACAACCAGAGGGACTTTCCTCACTGGCCTACAAGGTAAATCTGGTATCTCCAGCTCAGTCTTTGACTTGATGAGGAGGCAGTAGGGTGTGGAATCAAGTTGAAGAATTAAAATTATGGAGAGGAAGGAGATAGCAACCTCCTGCCTCAAAAGGAAAAAAATGAAAAAAAGAGGTTGTTTGCACCTCGTCTGCGACTGAAGGAGCCCATCCTGGTTCCTGACTTTTGAGCTGTGCAAACAACTGCTCCCAAGCCATGCCCTGAACACTCACTTCAACAATGACATTGCCAGGTATTTGCAAGCCCAGCACCAGTGAAACATTCAACGGTCCTGGGGACACATGTCGATTTTAAGGTAGGAGGGCAACTCTCTATAAAATCAACATGTGCCTGGTACCCTCCAGCTGGAGAATCACCAGTGGAAGATCTCTGTCTCTTACCTTCCAGCAGGGCCACGCGCAGCTCGGCTTTTTGTCGATCATAGGCAAGGGAGTAGCGCAGTTCAGGGGCCTGGTTACAGCTGGCTGCCCTCTCAGGGTTCAGGTGCTCCGTGACACACACGTCCTTGACTACACCTGGAACTGAAATAGACCCTTTAGCAAGCAGGTCTTCACTTTCCAAGGAGAACAAATCCACCCTGTCTTGACTTAAATTTTCTAATGTCTTACTATTCCCGCACCTTCTATGCAGGAATGTCATTTATGTTCCTTTTTCTTCCATCATTATATCTTCTTTTTGCTCCGTGTTCTCACACTTTCAGCTCTTTCTACAGCATTTGGACAAGCCTTCTGCTCTCTACCACCTTGTGCTCTAAGATGGTTCACACATTTGCTCTTTCACCTTGTGCCTCAGCCAAGGTGTCTGAATTTCACTCATTACTTGTTTTAAATTGCTTTTGGTGAATTAAATCTTGTGTTGTTTGGAATAGGAACTCGAGTGTGCTTTTGAACTGCCTTGCAACTCTGCGTTAGTTCAGACCTTTCTAAACATTTTTTAATTTTAGCAATACAGTCTTTGCCATGCAGAAGACATCTATTTCTATAGCACTTGACCAGTCTGAAGATAATCAGCTTGGGAAGCTGCGAGGCAGTTTCTCCACGTGTGATTTTGAAGTTGAGTGTATATTTCATATAGAAATAAAGCAAGCTGCAAGACTAAAAGGGAAGCCACAGCTTTTCTGTCGTGAAAAGCTGTTACCTGCATGGTCAGTTCTGATTCACACAGAAAACAATAGTGGGACCAGCACATTTCCTCCTAAAAATCTCAGCCACAGCCCAGGCCAGTTCAACGAGGCACCAAAAGGAGAACTCAGCAATTCTTGCTTTATTTCAGGAACACTTGAGCTATAAAATCAGGCACAGCAGGAAGCAAACTGGCTTGTGCCATTAGCAGTGCAGAGAGGCTCTTACACCAACACACTTACATAAAGCTTTAGCCTACATGCAGCCGTCATCCTCCAGCCTCTCCACCCTATAATCTTCTCCCTGACACCTAAGGATGTGGCTCAGACAGCCTCTTCCTTCACTGCAGCTGCTTCCCATGCTACTTTCTTTTCCATACTCAACAAATCTCAGGGTGGAGGGGTGAATGTAGCAATCGTCCTCTCAGAAGGATAAAAATATAATCTCAAGCGATTTTCAAAAAATAAAAAGAGGTCTCTTAAAAAAAAAATCCTGACAGATGGCATTGAGTCTCTGGCAAATCTTCAGGAAGGTTTTATTAATGTGGTAACCATACGAGTCAATTATCCTGTTAAAAGACAGCTGTGAAGGTAAAAATCAGTATGGATGCAACCCAGACATGCTGCCAGATGTATATAATTAACATTGCATTTTCTCTCAGGCTCCAGGAATCTTATGTTCCAGGCTTTGGCATGTTACCCTTTGGGCTGGCTGGAAAACAAGAATTCTTTTTGGCAAAAATGTTCTGAGGTGTCAGCCTTTGGTTTCACTGCACATCACAACAAGCTGACACCATCTCAAAAATTGGTGGAAAAAAAGCAGCAGAGAAAATAAAGTAGAATCTCGAAGCCCTGCTGCCTACGACCCTGACAAGGACAGTTGCCAGACAGCAGGCGTTTGTCCTGGAGGAGATACTCTTGCCTATTTTTGGCCAGATATTTCACCCATACTCTGGCAACTGCTGTCAGTAAAACTACACTAAATACATGTTTTTCTACAAAATGTCTGCTTCCAGTGAGCCAGATTCTTCAACACAAAAGGTGTTTCGGTAAAAAAAAATTACAACCAGACACAACTGCAGCTTTGTTATCTGAATGTCCTGATGAGCTCTGTGACTACTTTCTATTAAACACATGCATTGAAGACAGAACTCACAATTCTCATGATAAGAGAGTGAGAAGTGCCCCTTGTCTTCATTTTCACATTTATTTCTCTAACCACAATCACATTATGCTCAAAGTGTTACAGATCTACACCCAGAAAAGCAATTGTTAGTCTGAAGACCAAATGCTCCTACCGTTTTGAGGGAGAACAAACAGCTCTTCGTTGACTTGTATCTTCATCCTGTTCTCATCCAAACCAGTATGTTTTCCAGCAGCTGGTTCTTCTGTTGTCTTCAGGGAGTACTGAGTGTAGTTAACAATTTCAGGTGAAGTTACTACTGGTTTGGGGCCATAAATGTTGGGAAACTTGAGGAGTGCTCGAGGCTGGACTGGCTCTGCAGTTTTCTTAACGTTGAACTGAAAATTAAAACCTTGTTTATTACTTTGACTTAAGTAATTAGACTTAATTAATTAACGTTCTCTCAATGTTAAGTGAGCCGAGGCAAAGGGAGAAAAGGCAGCACCTCTGGTCATTCTTACTGTCATTGTTTCTTGGGTTGTAGAAACCACTGCCTGTATATCCAGAGATATTTCTTGCCAAAGCTGATACCCTCCTACTTGGTGTATGTCTTTTCATATTTACTCTTCTACAGATGTTTGGTTGCAACAAGGAAAAGATATGTTCTTATTGTTTGATTATTCCTCTGTTCCCGTACCAGTTAATGCTTCTTTCATAAGTCTACGTTTTCTCTTAGCATAGAAATCAACCATGAAGTTCATTTTGCTATCATTGAGGTATGGCATTTTTTACCCTGATGTCTGAAGTCAAATCCAAGATCAAGAGGCTTTAGCCATGCACAGATTTCAGAACATTTTACAGGAGTATATAGTAAGCATAGAAAGGCAAAGGCACGGATCATACAGTCACTTGGAGCAAGTATGACCATGTTGGAATAAAGAGAACTGGTTGAACAAACGAGCTCTGCAATGGCATACCAAGAGTAGTTGATTCAGTGGTCATCTCGACCTCTTGGACTACCTCATGGCTTTGTGGAGCAGAGCGCCATCTGAGCATCAGACACACATTTCCCCTTTATTATACTGGGATTAGAATTTGGATTTCTGTCTGAGTTTGTTCTTAACATTTCAACTCCCTGCTGAATTGGGAACATGGAATGAGAAGAAGAACCTGAAAGACAGTGTAATGCTCAGGCAGCCCAAGCTAAGGTTGTCACAAAGGCACTACTGTTCTCTCAAAACAATGAAAAGTATTTTAGTGAAATATAACAGTCCTCTTTTCTTTATGTTCCAAGAAAGAATCCTGTCTGCTCACAACTGAAACCATTCCTCGTTCATTTCTATTTGGATTCATAAATGGGAAAGAACAAAAGCTGACTAGCAAACGACCCTGACCCTTGCAACAGATTTTATTTATGTTTCCAAAACACAGAAGACAAAAAGCAGAAGTAAAACTGCCATTTTGGTTGATTATTGTGCAGTGGGATTCTCTCCAACCCCTCCGCCTGCCAACCTATGCTGTGTTAAGTTTAGGTTGAGGGTGAGCCAGAAAATGTTCGTAATTGTAATTAAAGATTTTAATCAGTCTCATTGTTTCCTATTAATAATGAATGTAGATAGATGATGCCCTGAAGCACTTGTCTGTGTTGGGACTTCGTGGTCCCCGTTCACGTGTCCTGAGGGAGCATACCTATTCCTCAAGAAATAGAGCTGAAGAAAGAGAGCAGCCTTGGACTTCAGCTCCTTAGTCGTACTCTGCTTGTTGAGATCCTAGCACTATGGTTACGTGCACTTGGCAGTGGGAAAGAACTAATTGGGTCAGTGGCTCCATCTTCTTAAGGCAGCCAGTGCATCAGTGTTGAGGAAGTCCACTATGAAACAGAGCATTTTGTCTTGTCTAATTTTAAGGGCTCTAAAAGAGAAGCAGGTTGAGAAAGACAGACGTCACTGTGTGCAGTCTGCACCGAGTATTCGGCTGAGTTTAGGTATTAGATAAGTAAGTTATAGAGTGGAGGTCTGTAAGTGAGATCCCTCCTTTAAGGATGTGAGCCTCATCAACCCTAAAATCCATAGGAAATTTGAACCTTAAATGCAATTTCCCATTCTTCTAAAATTAAAGCAGACCAACTAAGCAAAATACATCAGGACTCACTAGACAACAGCTTGAGAAACCAGGTTGCTTTTGTTCTGCAAAGGCATTACTTGTAACACACCCACAGTGCCTGCCGTGGTGGGTCAATCTCTGCTCTTCTTTCTCTCCTGAAGCCTCTGTGTAAGTCCTACCAGTCACTGACCATCACACCAGAGCAGCGTGTGCTTTGCTGTGTGCTGCCAGCACACAAAGCACTTGGAGATCCTCCGGGATGAAAACCACCACACCAATGTGAGGTATTGTTCGTACAACCTTTTCTTCCACTTTGTAAAAGCCAGACATTTAGTCAGGAAATCCGTCAGCACACACGGCAACTAAGAGCTCCACTGGGTCTAAATATTCCTCTTGTCTGTCTGCTCTGCAGAATTAGAGATGAGAGACATATGCAAGCACAGTGGGACTAGCCCACCCCCTCGCCCCACTGCATCTGCCTCTGTTTATTATTTTTGCTGCCAGCTCTGCTCCCAAGTGCTGTCTGCTAATCTAGTTACACAGCAGTGCCCTATGGAAGTTCCCTTTGCAAATCAGCAGCAGTATCCTAAATAAAGAGGCGAGCAGAAGAGTTTGGATAGTTCTGCATGAAAGCAATGAAATCAGAAGCAGCAAGGAGCTACTGACTCTTCTGGGTCCCTGTCTAGCACCACAAACAATGCACCAGATTGTTGCCGTCGCTGGATGCGTTTAGGAATCTTAATTCTGCACGTTTTTCTGAGACTTTGCAAATCAAGGTCAGTTTTTAACTGTTTGGTAGGTGTAGCTTTGTGTTTGAACTCTTGCTCCTCAGGTATGCAGGGCATGTCCACGGGGAGCCTCTGCCTATAGCAAACACAAGCATCACTGTCACGGGAGACATGCCGAGTGAATAAAAGGCAGTCTTCCTTCATCCTTCTTTTGTCATCTCTGTTTGTCAGAATCAGTGGCCCTGACAGGCTTCAATAATTAAGTGTGTCAAGCACTGACTGGGACATACAGGGTACAAATGTAGTCAGAAAAAAGTCCTGACAGTACAATTCATAAACATAGACACAGGTGATAGAACTTCCCAAGCTCAGAACTCAATTTGAGATTCATTCCTTCAAGGTATAGAGACTGATTCTGCATCAGTGACAGCAGAGGAGAATGCATGTTCTTGGCAATAAAACTATTTTAATTGGAAAGAATTGTTAAACATACGGAATATGCAAACTAAGAACATTTTGCACTTTCTGTGACAGAATGTTCATTCGGCTGCTATAATTTGGCCGGATTTCTTTAAAAAAAAACAACCCCAGAACCAGTAACATTAGGAATAATACTTCTAATTAGTAAGTCTACAATGCTAAAAGAATACAATCACTCAGGTTATCGTGATACATTGAGGGCAGGTTGAATAATTTGATCCCCTGTTGGTCAAATACTGGATTAAGTTATGGCAAAATTTGATGAATGTAGATGTATTGTGAGGACTATAACCTAATAGCTGCTGGGTACTGGAGGCTTAATGTGACTTCACGGTGATTTAGTGCTTATTTCAGTCATGCAAAGAGGATGACACCCCGGAGGACAAGCTCCAGGACGGATTAAAACTTTCCCAAGTCACTTCCCCAAAGGCTGGAAAAAAAAAAAAGAGTCCAATCCAAGGATGGAGTTAAAGATTTGAGAGGTTTCTGAGCTAGAAGATTGCAAGAACAACAAGTCTCTTGTAGGAAGAGACTGATGGTAAAGTTATCTGGGGGTAGTGTTGGAAAATCTTGACATTATCGTACATCCTTTTATACAGGAGTTGGCAAATCCCCTGTATGGGTTAGAAAAGGCAAGAAAGAAGCCAGGAAGGGTCATTATGAAACTATCAAAAAGAATAGCAGGTGAAATTCATCCTAGGAAAATGCAAAGAGATGCTAGGAGGTATTCACCATGCTTATGGGTGAACATTCAGAATTCACAGCGATCTCTTGAGAAGTCCTAAGCTCAGTGCAGATGTTTACCCATGGTCAGTGGAACCATCCTCCCATTCCCCAGGAACCAGAAGCCCTGGTAATGCAATTTTGTGTATCCGCACCAGATCTCACAAAACAATTAGTAGATTTGGTCATCTCTCCCCAGAACAAAGTGCAACAGGAGCATGAGGATGCCAGGGCTCGTTTCTACTAAGAGCCTAAGAGTGGTAGCCAGGGAGACACTGAAGGTGTAATTACAAACATTACAGAGAAGTTTAATTAGGACTCCTGATACACTTTTTAAGAATAAAAAAAATAACAGGCAGCTCAGATAATTAAAAGGCAAATGAAGACTGTTATTTAAGGGATCGCTGGCCTTTGGAATTGGCTACTATGGCATAACATTTGGTTGAATGGCTAGATGAAAGTGAAAAGGACAGAGGGACATACAAACATCAAGAGCAACAGCCAACAGGTGATACTTTCAGAGACTGACCAGTGCTATAGCTCATGCTAAAGACCATACTCAGCCAAGAAAATCAAACATTTCCCTTTGAAGGAGAGCTTCCCATTAATAAGTATATCGAAGCATCCCACAGGGGGTTTGGATTCTGACAAGAAAGACCATGCAGGGATGCCTGACATTATCCGTGCTCCACATTGCTCTTCCAGGAAGTGGAACAGCAACTCACAGTGTGATGAGTGTCTGGTCATCAGACTCTAGATTCTCACTTGCTTTTTATTGTCATTTCAATGCCATCTTTTAACTTCACACATAATCAATCCCCTCAGTTAGAGGGGCAGAGGGATGAGGAGTGATCGTTTTCACAAGAAACCAGTGGTTGACAGGGAACTATTCTGCAGGAACCATAAGATACTGTGAACAGAGTTAGAGAAATAACTGCTATAGGAGATCCCAGCAGGAGCCACCTCCTCTTTACAATGCTGCATGCCACCTGGTAAAGTCCAGCCTTCTCTCCTCAGGAAATGTTTTCCCCTGTGATCTAGCTTGACAGCTAAGCAGCATTTCCAGTCCTCCTCCCCTGTTTTTGCCATTAGCAGCTCTCTCTTTGGCAATGTGGCAGCTGTCTCCTGCTCCGGTAATTCTGTGGGTCACCCAGCCCACCTCTGTTTTTCCCTCACTCCTCCTCCCATTAACATCTTGTTACATCCTGAACACAGTAAGCAGATAAATAGGCAGCAGAAATGACATGCTGAGTAGCCTAACAGAGAAGTTGCATCCCCACCCTCTGCATTTAAAGAAAAATCACAGAGTAAATTAGAGACTGGGTCTTACTTGCTGGACTGGCTGAAGCACACTGGGCTTAGTATTTTCTGTATCCTCCTCTTGGTCCTTTTCTGAGAGTCCTTTCCCAGGTTGCTTGCATTTGCAGAAGCAGGTGAGCCCACAGAGGGCAAGGATGCTTGTTGCAGTCCCTAAGGTAGCCCCCAGGGCTATAACTGGGGCAGATAAAACCATTGTCCTGCCCTGCACAGGAACAAAAAGCACAGAAACCCCGTGACTCCTTCTCCTCTGGGGGAGAGCAGCTTTTGCACATCCACTCCGATTCCTAGCCTGGCTTCATTCTCCTTGGAAGTCTGAAAACAATTCTCTCGTGCAGCAAAGGGACCAATCTAGAGACAGAGATAAATCATCCCACCTTTGCTAGGCAACAAGGCTACCTTTCTTTCTATCCTGATGATGGAGTTCCTGCTCCAGGTCAGGGAGAGGAAATAGTGATGTGGTGCCTGCAATCTCCATAGAGCTGCAAACAGGCAGTTTTCATTGAAGCCCGTTCTCCAGCTCCACTGGGAAAAGTCTGATGTGTGATAGAGAGGAAAGACGTCAGCAGAAGGGGCTGGGCCTTGCTAGCTAACTCACAGAAAGTGCATCCAAATGTTTGATCAGCTCCCTAGCAATATTTCGGAGGGCTAGCTTGCTCATTTGCTCGAGAGGTTGATTTTTTTCTCTCTTAAGGCAAAGATAGTGATTGCCAAAAGGTGCTGGCCTGAGAAGCCTGGCTATGATAGCAATGCACAATAGCACTGTAGTCAGAGTAAAGCCTGAGTGTAAGTCAGGCAAAACTTTCTCCTTCTTCAGAGGCTGGGGAACAAAACCAGGCAAGAATTAAGCACCGTGCCACGTGTCAGCAGCTTCCCCTCAAAGCGCAGGGTCTGAACCTTTTGGAGCTGCTTTCTCTAAGCATCAATGCAGAGCAGTAATTCTATTTAAAAAAGGCAGCAGTAAAACCCTCTCCAACAAGGCACACTGGCGCATATGCTGCTTCCTCTGGAGAGGATGAGAGAGCAAACAACATATGCTGGGTATTAGTCATACCGCTCGCTACACCGGTGTCAGGCAGTGGGCTGGTGAGCACAGGAGAAGAACCTGCATCACTACAACCTGAAGGGCTACCTGTCCATCTCAGTCCTCTCTTGAGGTGATGGAGCCATTAACTTTCACTGACTCATTTATTTTTGCCTTATTTCTCAGCCTGCCCAGCTCGGGGAATAGGAGAATAAATGCCATCTTTCAATGTTCTCCTTGTGACATGTACAATCATTTTCTGGGTACTTCACAAGAAGTACCTTGTGGCCAGAAGCTGATTATAATTCTGGGTCACTATGTGTCTGGGCCAGAGTGGAACTAGTAAGCAAGAAGGAAAATATTCCTTATAAGGCTCTGGAAAAAATACCCAGTTCTACTGGGAATTTCTTTGTCTTTCTATTTTGGAATACAGTTGATGCCTGTGGATCAGGAAAAAAATGAACTATGCACACAGAAACATTTAGAAATTCAGGTTTTTTGATCTTTCTGCAGCTCAAGTTTTGCCATGAATTTTTCTTGCCTTTTCTTTTGATGTTTCACATCTTACTCATGACGACTCACTCGGCTTTTGTTCCATTATAGACGACATATTCACCTCCCTGGCACCAAGCTTCCCTCACACATCTGACTCTCACTTTAATTGTTAAAAAATTCCTCTTTAACACTACTGGCTACCAGCCTTGTCGGACATGCATCTCGCCCCTTGCTTCCAACCCTCCTGACCCCCATAAAGAAGAGAATTACGATAGACTCCTTAAGCAGAGACAACCCTCCAATACACTGCTGAGCCCTCGGGAACTGGCCTTTCAGCTCAGCCCACAGAAGGAAAACCTTGAGTTTTGTCTTCTGTCTAAACAAGAACATAGAAGTGGCCACGCCAAGCTGGACCACTGGCACATCCCTTGCTGCGTTCAGTAATGGGAAGAACATCACATAGAGATTGAGAAATCTGACTAAACACTCCCTTTGCTTCTTGCTCTTCGTGGCTCAGAAGCTTCCAAGGCCTTGAGCAGCATCCTTGAGCTCACCTCTGCTGATCTGAACTTACTCTGCCACGAGCAGACTGTTGCAACCATTTGGTGACTTACCTAACAACCACTTCATTCTGCGTGTAGTTGAACAGGTATCATCATAATCATAGGGCCACGAGGTCTTATCTTGAATTTGAAGAACGTATCATATTGTTATGGACTTCCACCACCACTCAAGAGAAGAGAGGAGAGTCTGAAAGAGGACAAAAAGGGTGGACACACTGTTCAGATGCCTTTGGTTTCCTCCGCAGGATGGGTAATGAAATCTAACACAGCTAGATCAGGGGTCCCTGAGATTTGGAAACCATGTGAAAAGGAAGAAGGTGCTCTTAAGGATAGAATACATTGACAGAGATTTGGAGTGGAGAAGGCATCCAGTCCATCCATGAGATGCAATGTTTATATGTTTTCTACAAGCTGCTCCGAGAATTATATAAAGACTGTTTACAACAGGCTGTGGAAAAAAGGCCACATCAAAATCTCTCTGCAAGACAATAATCTAATAGTACACCTCTTCAAAAAGTTTTCTGGCTGCTTGGGTATGAAGAATAAGTTTTTCTTGCCAGAAATTGTACATGCTGTGAAATGTAAGATGTAGAGAATCATCATCAGATACCATATTTTAATAATAACAGCCAGGCAGCAGCCTTTTGCTGCTATTGGTAGGAAAATAAACCAGATCTTTCTAAACATTATTAGCAGGATGTGAGCTTCTACCAGAGACAGGCCAAAGAGTGTGGAATTTTGTGTGTGCACTGATGCATGTAACTGGTACAGATCCATAATTTAACCATAGCTTTGGCACATACCGGCACTGCATCTATCTATCTATCATGGTTGCTTATTTTTAACACATCCTGCTTTAAAAAAAAATTGGACCATAAATACATTTCCAAGTCAGCTTTATACTTGCTTGTTTTAACACCCAATAACAAAATTGCTTCTTTAAAGCAGTAGTAGGAAAAAATGGCACCAGGTTAATGCCATTTCTTACTGGCCATTCACACTGATATTGTCCAGAATCGCATAGCTTTTTTATGTGTCACACCTACCCGTGGAAAGAGACTTGCCAAGGCAGAAAGATGAAAGCCTGTTTCTGCTAATGCTGAACTTTATGGGCAGGTTCAGGCCTGACAACATGTTTTACAGTCACTCTATCCACATATTTTCTCCAGATTCTGATACAAGGCATATATTAGAATGACAAAATTGTATACCTGGTTTTCAGCCCCTGATACTTCAGCCTTGAATATTCTGTGATGATAAAATATAAGGCACTGGACAACCTTTGGTGCTTATAGATTCTTTGTTCCTGCTGTGAGTTTTTCCACTGATATTTTGGACCTTTCTGCCCATTGGCTACATGAAAGAGGCTTTCTCTGAATGAAGAACTAGTACAGATCACATGGAGAATTACAAGACCTTTTGTATTGCTTGGCTCTAGTTCATGTCTTACCAGAAAAAAAAAGCTTTAATGCAATTGCCAGCCACTCGAATAAGCAGGTCAGGGATTTGCAACTTTTATTCTGGCATTAGAAGACACAAATTACAGTTCCAGAATCCCTCACTATCACAAGGAAAAAGCCAACACACATCTGAATGAGAGATGGTTGCAGACTCAGCCCACTCCATCAGGGGCTGGCATTTGTCAGAGATACTCTGATTCTCACTGAGCCATTTCACCAGGCAGAAGTGTGAGTTAACAGAGGGAAACGGGAAAGAGTTTTTTTTGCAGGGAAATCCTTGTAACAGTCAGATTTAATCTGAAGGTGTAAGCTCATGTTTTCACTTGTATTGACTTGTTATGAGATTCTGACATTCCGTGCTAAAGAAATGGGGCAGTTTGAACAGGATGATGGTCTAAAATAGCTTGCCAGATCATAGCAAGGTGTTTACACCATCCGGCTTTGGGCACTGAAATAGACAGTTAATGACAGAAAACCATACATGGTTTTCATGCATTTCTTTAACAAGAAAATGAAGCACTGAAAATGAAAGGGAAGGTAAAATGCTTGTGCTTACAATGACTACATCTACCTCCTTACGCTGATGCCTCAGGTTGTAAATGCTTTAAGAAAGGGATTTTGTCTTCCTCCAAGTGGTGAAGTATTCCCCTACCAGATGGTGAAGTATTATAGACCACTGAAATAATCTTTTGCTGTGCTATTAAGACAAAGCAGTTGTCTCTACATATTTATATGGGAAAAAAAAAAGAAAAAAGCAGGAAGATTTGTGAGAGGAATGTGGGCTTGGGCCCTCCATCACTGTCACTGAAACAGACCTGTGGATATAAATCAAGTAAATGAAGTGATTAAGAGAAAACCAATCATTTTCTAAAAGGGAGACATACAATGATCAGCCTCAAGAAAATGAACTTCAAGCTGTGGTGTTCCAGCTGGTGTTAATGCATATAGAGTTCCTGAAACCTCCAGACCTCCAGGACTACCTGTCATCTGCATGAGTAGCCCTTTGCCACTCTGCTACCTTCAGCGTGATGAGGATTCAGCACGCAAAAGGGTACAGGTAGTTGCATGCAGTGCAGGCCTCATGGAAAATGGTGTGGGATTCTGGAGATCTATGGGAAAAATCTGGCTGTGCACCTATTTCAGGAGGCTGCTGTGTAACCCCTGTCACCAGCAACCCCTGTAAACCTGGCTGTGGTACAGCTCTTGCATTCCTTGCAACAACATTGGATGAAGATGCCCCGAGGGCTGGAGCACCTCTCCTATGAGGACAAGCTGAGAGAGTTGGGGTTGTCAGCCTGGAGAAGAGAAGGCTCCAGGGAGACCTTAGAGCCCCTTCCAGTCCCTCAAGGGACTCCAGGAGAGATGAGGAGGGACTCCTGGTCAGGGAGTGGAACCATAGGAAGAGGGGGAACAGTTTTAAACTGAAAGAGGGGAGATTTAGATGAGATCTCACAAAGAGATTCTTTGTTGTGAGGGTGGTGAGAGCCTGGCCCAGGTTGCCCAGAGAAGCTGTGGCTGCCCCATCCCTGGAGGGGTTCAAGGCCAGGCTGGATGGGGCTTGGAGCAACCTGGTCTGGTGGGAGGTGTCCCTGCCCAGGGCAGGGCGGTGGAAATAGATTATCATTAAAGTCCATTCCAACTCTCAACTATTCTATAACTACTCCCAGAGGGTGGGAGGCTCAGCACTAGGAAGCAGGGAGAAGCAAAAGTGGTCCTGAAGGGTAGGTGATCCAAAGGAGGGTAAACGGAAAAAAACACTGGGCAGGAATAGGAAGGGTTTGGAACATGTGAATTGGGCATTGGTGTGACTGCTGTATAACAATGCTGCACCCTGCTCTGCTGGGCAGAGCACCAACTCAATGGGCAAATTAGAGGGAATTCAGGAAAGAGCCACATGAATGAATAAAGGGCTTGGAAGGCAGTGGATCAGATGATTCAAGGAGGTCAGCCTGTTTATTGATGAAAGGGCTAAGGGGTGAT